AGTAAAAGTCACTGTACCTGCAACAACTTGAAGAGTAATGTTACTGAGTGAAGAGCGTCCTGGACTGTCTGTAGTCTTCATACAGCAGTAAGTGTTTGCATCACTCTCTCTTAGATCATTGATGGTTAAAGTTGGGATTTTCTCTTCAGACATGTTGTACGTTACATGTTGTCCATCCACAGAGAGCTCACTCTTTGATCCATTTAAGTGTACAGTGAACCATTTCCTGCTTGGAGTCAGATGTTGATGTGAGCAGTGCAGATCCACTGATGAACCTTTGAGAGCACAGATCCTGGTTGGAGATCCTCCTCCATTAACACCTTTAACAGAAAGTTTATTAGTAACAGATTTATTAGAGATTTGCTTATTAGATTTCTATCATTAATCATTAAATAATAATGTTATATATTTGTACTGTAAAATCTTCGATGAATTTACGAAGTGTTGCTTAAATGATGCAGTATCAATCTAAAAGAATTCAAACAATACAAACAGCTCTAGCTCCATCTTGCTGGGTCAACTTTTCTCTTTCAGTGTGAATGATGCCAAAAAATGACACATTCAGCTGTCTAACACATCGTAGCAAAGTTTAACTTCCTTCTTTCCTTTTGTCTTTTCTTTGTATGTGCATGTTGTGTCTTTTTACATGAAATATTTCGTGCAATTATTCCTCCTATAATGATGTTTTGTCTATATTTTACTTATTATAGGTTGTCTTTAATCACACGTTATTGTTCAAAGAGTAGAAAGCTGCAGAGGTGTTAAAACAGTTGTCTGTATCTGGTTTATGATGGAAACACGTCTGTGGTGACAAAGAATCTCCAGGCTGAAGCTCAGTGATCAGCATGAACAGCTGTGATGATGTAGACCTTACTCTGCTGTCAAGCTGCAGCTGCTCTTTGTATCAATGTAAAGGATCATATTTATTATCGAGCGACCTAAAAACTAATCTAGCCAAAAGAACTCTGACATGTTTCCGTAATCAAACCTCTGTCATAGAGTTTGAAAAGTTTTTGTTGACATCACGGTTTTCTGGTTGTTTTACTAGAATAACTGTCAGGGCTCGGAGTGGACTATTCCAGTAATGATGTCGTACCAACAAAATATTTATACAGTGAGCTGAAAGGAGGCCATTTCTGATGTCTTTGTATATTGACATCATCTTAGACTCCAGCTTTCTGCTCGGTTGTTGTTCAGTTTCCCCTGAACTGCTTTAACATTCATTAGCTCACTTCAAGAGCTCATCAAAGCAGAAACTTTAAGTCCTGCTGATTAACAGTGAATCTCATGTTTTCTAACATCCTTTAATAACTTTCCAGAGTTTTCCTACGTTTAAAACCTTCAGCCATGAAGGCTTTAGGAGGAGAAACATGTATTCCTACCTGAGACAAACTGAATGAATCCCCAAACCAAAAATCCAGCTTCTGCCGAGATCATGACTGTCAGATTTCAGCTTCTAGTCAGAAAGTTAAGTGCATTGTTCTTCACACAGGAAAAGCTTAAAAACCTGAACTGATACGTACTAAAGTTAGTTCAGCCAAATATAAACTGCAGCTTTAACACCATCAAACTTCCCCCTGCATGGTGTTTTTTAGAAAGACTTCTTAACCCTTGGATGCACAACCTACCAATACCTACACTCTTCCACGAGTGGGGTCAAAAATGACCCCAAATAGAAACAATGCATTTTGCTATAAACTCGGTTGTTATTCTGCAAAATCTTTAAAACGAAGAGTTGTAATATTTTCATATTTGAGGTATTCCTCATAAAACATGTTTGTGACATGAGGCCCTTTGCATTTTTATTTATTTTTTCATTAATTTTAAGAAATTGCAGTTTTTGTATCACTTGTATCACTTTTGTATGCTTACTCGGCATATACTGCAGAAGCTGGGTCATCCCTCTGAAAGGCACAAGTTGTTTATCCACTGTAACACAATCACTGAGGATGAATTTCTGCCTGCAGTTGACCAGGAACAGACCCCATATGTAGCGGAAAGCTGCCATGTGGTTTGTTTTCAGTCGGTAGGCTCTGGTCCTCTTGTCATCAAAGTGCAAGAAACAGCGAATATCTTTAAATCTTTGAATTGACATAGTGGCCTTGTACAATGGGTTATGCAGAGGACTCCCAAAAAACACACCGACTGGTACATCCCAGTTCTTCAATAGTCTGGGTCCTCTATATCTTAGATGTCAGATTCTGAGTCAGTGCCTCCGATGGGCTCTTCATCCCATCCGTCCTGGATCATTTGTAGGGCAAGGTCCACAGCTGGCCTCATAGCAGCCATGTTATGTTAAATATTTAAAAAAAAACATCAGAAAGGACAATGTTTGAAATGCATTAAAGATGTCGAAGACGCAAGCTCTGTAAGCAATTACTTTGGTGTTCCTCCACCACAAAAGAAGCGCGTATTCTCTGAATTTCCGGGAATACTTTTATTTTGACAGCGAATGCACACCTGCGGACCACTTATGTGCAGCCCTAACTATAAATCATGTATGTTACTGTGTAAAAATTAATTCTTGATCCATCAGAAGTGTAAGTGGGTCAGTCAGAGTTGCTAAGAATGAAAGTTTCATAGAAGATTCCACAGGAACTGCTTGGGGTCATTTTTGAAGAGTGGGGTAGTGATACAAAAACTGCATTTTTTTTAAATTAATGAAATAATAAATAAAAATGCAAATGGCCTTATGTTACAAACATGTTTTATGAGGAATACCTGGAATATGAATATATTACAACTTTGCATTTTAAAGATTTTGAAGAAAATCAACCCGTGGGGTCATTTTTGTGCATCTAAGGGTTAAGCTTAAATTTAACTTGTGGAGTTTTTTTAAACAGCATAAATTTCTCTCCATTTGCCTGACTGAGGCTGGAGAAGTGTGAAGCTTAGTGGTTTTTTTCACTTCCTGCCAAGCAAGGGAACAAACATGCTTTATTTGTTTTGACAACAACAGTAATCAGCAGTATTATTTTCATACATACACAATTTAAAAAAACAATGAAAGTAAAGCTCATCTGATCTCAATGGGGAAAGTGTCACAGTGGATATCTATACTGATACAGACTGCTGCCACATTGTTTGATGGAAATGAAAACCATCAACCTTCAGAGGGCTGAATTTGATGGAAGTCTGTTTCTAATTGTTTGGTTAATAACATTAACATCAGAGGCCTACTGGAGGTCATTTTGTAGGGCTCTGGCAGTGCTTGCTTTCCTAGTTCTCTCCCACATGGTGGCCCACAAATATGCCCACAAAATGAAACATTTCAGTGGAAATTTAATTGCTTACCACCAATTTTTCGTGGTTTCCTGGTGGTTGGCCTTTTTTTCCTGTAGTGTGACCGAGGCCTAATCTACAGCACATCGCTGAACAATTCTGGGAATCTGGAGAAAACTCTCTGGGCTAGGGACAAGACAAGGCCTGTGATCTTTGGGCTTTCAGGCAGGGCTGCAATGAAAATATGCAAGATTCTGTCATGGAAATCACTGCATGGGTTTGGGAATAATTCCAAAGAACACTGTCAGTGAACAAATTTCATTCCTTTGCGGTCACTCAAAGTAAAAATCAGCAATACAAACAGAAAATAGACACCAATGTCAATTAATATGTCTGAAATATACTTTAGGGCAGCTGCATAGTATAGTGGTAAGCCCACACACCTTTGGAGCGGAGAGCTCAAGTTTGATTCCCTCCTGGTATCCAGCAAAGGACCTGGCTAGGTCCTCCATACCATGACACCACATCTGCTGCTCGGACATGATACATTTAAAGGCATGTTGTACTCTGTATGTGACATTGTATGTGTGTAACAGACTTCACTTCATGCCTGTCACTGTGTGTGTGAAGGGCACAATAGAGTGGGTGTACAGCGGGCTGTGTTTTTGTAGTTACTTTTATCTCTCTTCTGGCAGTGAGTGTAATAAATGTACTTCTAGTCTCCTAATAAATGTAGACCAGAGAAATAGCACGATGCACACATCATTCATAGTAACAGCTTTCAACAAGTAAATATTTTTCCTCTGATTAGGTTGGCTGAGTTTCTGGTGACCTCTTCAGGTTGTACTCTGCCATGACATAAGCAGTTATTGACCATGACATCTCTCTCAAACTTTCACAGTAGAGTAAGTCTGTAAGTCTGTGTCTGCTGGAGAGACACCAGATGCTCCATCAGAGCTGAAGCTGACAGCAGCATAATGAGAACACTCCTGTTGTCTAGGCTGATGTGACTGTACGGTAGAATAAAGAGGAACCACATAGTTGTTTCTGAAGTGGACTCTGCTGTAGTGGACTTCATCCTCCTGTTTTGGTTGTGTTGAGATGTTTTCATACACAGGACCAGGACTGAGCTGATAAAGACAAACAGCATTACATCAAAATGCACTTTAAATTTGACTCCTTTTATTGTATGTTGGAAAAAATTTAAAATGAACACTGGAAAGATAACAGAGTTTTTTTAAACTCTAATCTTTACCTGTTCAATTTGGTCAGACCTTTCAGTTGTTTGAGACTGACCAGAAGTTCTCTTTTTCCTGGTTGAAGTTAATAAACTGAAAAATTAGTGACTTCAGAGCAGAGATTGAATGTACTGCTGTGAACCAACACTTACCTAACACACCAGCAGACAGTGCGAAGTATTAAAACCAGCAGAGCTGCAGAAACTCCTGCAGCTGCTGGTGTCCATGTTCCTGTGATACTTTGGACAGTGAGAGTCTTTGGAGCAGAGCTGATATCTTTGTTGCTTTTCACAGCACAGGAGTAGCTTCCTGCATCCTCCCTGCTGACTGGGTCAAGGATCAGATGTTTGTTCTGGTTCTCTCTCGGGGTCAGAGGTCGACTGTTCAAGTACCAAATGTAGTTTGTGTTGTCAGTCAGAGGACAGCTGGTACTACAGGTCAGTGTGACTCTCTGACCCTCTGTCACCACTGCAGAAGGACTCATCTTCACTCTCAGCTCTGAAAGAGGAACATTGGTCAAGAACAAAAAATCTCCTGTGTGGCTTAGACATGAAAGATGGTTTCATGACTTTACTACAAAACCTCCTTGGTAAAAAAACCAAAAAACCTCTCGGGTTTACACAATCCTTTTCTCCAGTGATGAAAAGTATTTATTTATTAAAGCAGTGTACTTAAGTAAAAATTCAAGGTACTTTTGCTTTCAGTTTTGTGTAACTTTATATTCCATTATCTCAAATGATTATACTTTTTACTCTTCAATATTTATCTATCTTGCTATGTCTGGTATTAAAACTACTGTCTTAAACCTTAAAAGAAGAACATTTGGCAGTGTTGTATAGTATTGTTGGGCAACATTGGTAAAATCCACAGTTTTTACCAAATCAAGGGCCTGTGCAACATCAGCCCAATCCTGACCTTAGAACCAATGATGGGCCGTCTCAACCACAGCCTAAACCTCACTTAATACCAAAGTGAGTGACACTGATGAACTGGGTGCGCTGAGATGCCACCTGCAGGAGGCTCAGCACATGTGGAAAACCAATCTTTATAAAATGACAGCTGCAAACCACCGTGGTTTTAACTCGGCGGGCGTGATTAAGGATGCCGTGCAGGTGCGTCTGCCCTCCATGCACGGCACCGCAGACCACGCTCCACCACAATTGGCTTCGCCTGCAGCTACAGTGCTGCAGAGAAAATGCTTAAAAAACCATCCTTGAGCTCCAAGAAGAACTGGAACAGGCTGGCAGAAAAACAGACTCGAGGACACAACAACACCTGAGGTGAGTGAAGCTCCAGTTGAAGACAGCAACACAGCTGTCACAGCTGCAGAGCTGAGTGTGGACCCTTCAACACAAACTGCAGAAGCTCCACACACAGACTCTACAGACGTAAAAACTGTTCGAGAAGCTGAGTTGGAGGTCCAGTGCAAAAAACAGCAAGAAGAGATCGAACAACTCCGTGAGCAGCTCCTCAAAACTCAAAAGAATCTTGAAGAGGAAGTTGCAAAGTGCAAAGATCAGGAACAAAGAGCCAACTGTGAGTTCGCTGAGCTGAAAGACAAACTCAGCACCAGTGAGGCTCTTTGTGACAAAATGATTTGAAGGTGCAAAACTTAAAAGAAGAGCTGAAACCAAAACTTCCCACCTGGAAATCATGGAGAAGCAAAACCTGGAGAACACAACAATCCGAAACCAACTCGGGCAAACAGAGGAACAAAAGATCTCACTTCAGGAGTCTTTGCTGTCTCTGCAAGAGACAAGTTGACAATC